AATAGAAACCATAAGTGCTTACTACCCAGGTCACATACTTACCAGCTTCTGAAACCCTTTTGCTTGCCCTTTGATATGCATAGTCAACAATAAGTAAAATCAGCTAACACTTTGTTCACCTTCCTATTCCACTCCTATGGCCCTATTTCCACGTAGACATTGTAGGTGGTGGTTATTTCCCCCTCTGCCTTACACACCCTGGGGATTGAAGGCAGTTAAGTAATCACCTTGCTTCTTGTGACTATGCCCCTTGTTAGGAAGGTCATCTATTGATCACTGGGCCTCTCATTCCATGAAAATCTTAATCAGACTCTCAACCATACTCTAGAATGTTCCCCCAGTAGTGATTTCAATATCCATATAGATCAGTCTTCCAATATCACGGCCTCTGGGTTCTTGACCTCCATTCTATCTCAGTCGGACCTTGTATGGCCATACCTTAGATCTCGTCACCACCAATAATTTCCACCTCTCCATGATCTCAGTTTCAAACATTCCACTCTCTGATCTATGGATCTATTTAATCACTACCTAAAACCTTCTGTATTTTCAACTCCCTTATTCTGGCCTTGAATTTGAAAATCCCTTGGCCACTGGAATTTCAATTTATGGTAATCACCCCTCTTCATGGTTCTTCACCCCTGTCATGTTCTCACGTCTCTTTGTTATCATTGAATGGTCATTTTCATTGTTCTCTCACTTGTCCCTTAATTCATCCTACTCTTCCACTTGCTCTAGCACTAGGTCCAACTTTCTACCTGATACATGCCCAAATTCACAGAGCTAAAGGTGACGGGAGAAATATTCTCTCTCTTTAAATTCATAAATACTAAAAATCTCCCAAGGGTCTTTAATGCTACCTAGAAATCAAAACTTTATTCCCCTAGTCTAGTCATTGTCTTGATTCTCCTAGTTGATGAATGTCTTTAAATCCTTTCTCCAACTTTCCCCATCTCCACCCCATTCGCTTCCCATGTTACTAAGAAAATAGAGATAATTAGGAGGGAACTTCTACACACACACACCCCCTCCCTTCTTTCTGCTTCTTCCTCTTTGATGAATAAAGCACATATGCTTCTAGCTAAAGTCACCCACCTATGTGCATATTAATTCAATCTCCCCCTAACCTACTCATTGATCTCGCTCCTTGAATTTTCTTTCTCCTGTACCATTTTCCCCCTGAGTCATTTCCATTATCATAAAAACATATGGTCACTTTCTTATTATTTAAAAACCCACATGTTCTGACCCAATGTACCCCTCCCTCCCTCCCTCCCTTCCTTCCTTCCTTTCTTCCTTCCTTTCTTTCTTTCTTTTAAGGAAAACTCCAAAGATTGCTATGCACTTACTCAGTTTGCTCTTCTCCCATTCTGACTTGAACCCACTCTAAGAAGGCTTTTTGTCACCATGTTTCACAGAATGTGTGTTTATCAAGGTCAGCAAGGAATTCCGTATTGCTTACATAATTATCAGCAGTATTTAATGTAGATCACACCATTTCAAACATTTCTAGAAAATTTGGTTTCCAAGAAATCCTATCTTCCTGATGTTCTTCTTTGTCTCTAGAGAATTCTTCTCAGTTGCCTTTGCTGATTTCTCCTTCTTTCCCTGACCTCTTTATATATGGGTATTCCAAGTTATAGGGCTTGGACTATGGGTTATATCTATACTCACTGCCTTGGAGAACTTATTAATCTAAGTTACGGCTCTGAATACCATTTTTATGTCCTTAACTCAGATACGCCTTTAAGATTTAAAGCTATATACCTAAATGCCTGCTGGATCTACGTACGTAAACCTCCAATTTAATGTCTAAGGCTCTCTAAAATTTGAGCTGTCTAAAAATCGATCTTTTGATTTCTTACTTTCCAGCTAAACAAATAAATAAACAAACAAACTAATCTCCTGTTCTCTTGTAGTCGTCCCTATTGAAATTAATGGCAACTCCAGTCTTCCAGTTGCTCAAGCCAAAAAGTGTATAATCACTGTTGATTCAAATTTTATCTCTCTCACATTCTGCATCTGAGCTAACCCCCTATAACCAATAACCCCCAATAACTCCCAATAACCTGCCCACTTCACACATCTCTGATATTGAGGGTCTAATCTGAGCCGCCATTTTTATGACAGACTCGACCTGGCACTTCAACCCCGCCCCATCCCTGTGTCTTCTGAACACAAGAGAGTGATCTTGTTGAAAGAGAAGTCAGGGCACATCACCCCATGCAGGTGGCATTCTGATGACCAAGAGTTTCATTTCTGGCTGTCCACTGTCACTCTGTCTTTGGCCCTGCTCTCCTTATCTGCCTTGCTCTAGCCACACTGGTTCCCTTGTCACAAGTCCTCAATATACCAGGAAGGCTCCCGTCCTGGGGACATAGGAATGACTGTCTGTAATGCTCTTTCCCTCAATATCCACATGATTCAATCTTTCATCTCCTTTCTACCTTTATTCAAGTGTGTTATATTCTTAGGGAGTTCTTCATTAACCACCTTTAACCCCCAAATTAAAATACTCTAATATTTTCTACCTTTTTCACAGGTTTAATTTTTCTCCCTGGTCTTCATCACTATGTAAAATTCTACAAATTTTCTTATTAATCTTGTCCATTTTCTCTTTTTCTAGAATATAAATTCCACAAGAATAGGAATTTGTATCTGTTTCATTTACTTATGAATCTCAACTAACAACACTTAGAAAATAGTAAACATCTATCAAGTATGTAAAGGATTAAATAAATAATAAATAAATGAACAAACATGTTGGAAAAAGAAGATGGAAATTTTAGAAATAAAAAATAATTGAAATTTAATACTTAGCTGGATAAAGAGAAACTTATTTTTTCAGAGAACAACACAATATCAATAGAAGAGATATATTTCATGGTTACTCTTAGGAAGCTGGTGTAAATTTGATTCCCAAACAGCAATGAAAGTAAGAAAAACCATAGACAATTTTTTTTCATGAAAATAGATTTAAAAATTCTAAACATATTATGTAACAAAATCCAATAAGTTAAAAAAATATACTTCAGAGCCAATATAGATAGTATAATTTATATTTAGATAAATTTTAAAATTAGAGAACACTAAAAATACAACTTCCAAATCCATATTGGTGTATGTTGAGGACTGAATGTGCCTCTCCAAATTCATGTGCTGAAATATGATCCCTAATATGATACTGAGAGGTGAGGCGTTGGGGAGGTAACTTAGGAAGGTGAGCCCTAATGAATGGAAGGAAGGGAGCTATTTAGCTGTCATGTGAGGTCACAGTAGAAGCAGGCCCTCACCAGAACCTGATGTCGGACTTTGAACTTTCATTATGAAAAATACATTTCTATTGTTTATAAACCTCCCAGACTATGGTACTTTGCTATAGCTACCCAAGATAGGTCAGTATTTAAGTTCAAACAGAAATTATATAGATAATGAGTTGGGCTACTCCTGGATACTTAAACTGAGTTTACTTTTTAAGTTACAATATAGTAATATTGATTCCAATCAATATTGTGACTGAAGTCAATCTGTGAGTGTGTGGGTGCTCTCTTATGAATGTGACCTGTATAAATTCATGTTACTCCCACCATAGTTGGGATATGGAATAGTTGTATCACCTCATAAAACTCCCTTCCGATATTACTTGTAGTCACACCCACCTCCCCAGTTTCCAGTGCCATTGATCTGTTGTCTATCCATAAAATTTTTGGATTTTTTTTTAGCAAGTCATATAAACAGAGTTGGACAGTATATAACCTTTTGAGACTGGTTTCTTGTGCTCAGGAAAATGATGTTGAGATTAATCTACGTTGTTGCATGTATCAATAGTTCACTCTTTTTTACTGCTGAGGATGGTAGACCTGAGTTTATCGCCTCATCCACTGAAGGACATCTGGTTGTTTCCAACAAGTACAGATGATATGAGTCGAGTTGTTATAACAGTTGTATATGAGTTTTTGTGTGAATATAAGTTTTTATCTCTTGGGTAAACACTGTGAAGTGGGATTGCTGGGTCATATGCTAAGCCTGTATTTTACTCTATAAGAAACTGCAAAGCTGTTTCCCGAAGTAGCTGCACCATTTTGCATTCCCACCGGCAATATATGAGAGTGCCTGCTAGTCACTCCCCGCCCTCAGCAGTACTTGGTATTGTTAGTATGTTTCACTTTACCCATGCTAACAGGTATATAGTAGAAACTAACTTTTGTTGGTTCCTGAGGTTTGGAAAGCAAATAGCCAAATTTTAAGACTAAGAGCATCATCAAAAATTTTAATTTGTTTGCTTATTCATTTTGATAGCAAGTCAAACTGTGAAGAAAAGCAATGAACTGATTAACATAAAATTTGTGGGCAGACAGGAAGATTCAATCTACTAGGTACATGAAGGGACTCTCAGATACAGATAATATGCCATTTGTAAGGGAAGGTGGGATGTACACTCTGTGTTACACTGTTCTTTAAATACATTTAATACATTTCACAATCAAAAATATTAAATGAATTGTCTGAGCACAAAAAAAATATAAGGAAATGCAAAACAATATTTTAAAACTACTTTTTCAGGAGTTCAACTCTAGTGAGTTGAAAAACTTAAAAAGCATCTTGCAGAATTTGGGCATAAAGCATTTTTAAACATAAAGCTTCCTTTAAAAACCATTTAATGTTAATTTCTTTACTGTGATTGTTTATGTCTGTGATCGTTTGTTTCTGTGATTGTTTATGTCCCATAGACCAAATTGCTAATGTGTCCAGTTATTAAGGAGCTTGTTTAATCCCGGAGGTCTCAACCTACACACAGGCTGGTCATGGACATTCTTAAAGATTGGCAAAGATAGCTCATTCCTAGAAACCAAGACCTCGATGGGACTTGAGTCAAACCCACAATAAATGCCTCATTTTTAGTATTCATAGATTCTTAGACACCCCAGGCCATCATCTGGGCACACATTCATCAGTAGCCAGTTCTGGTGGCCACCAGCACCTTGTGAGGAGTACATTACCTGTGACGACACTGGGGATTTTGGAGAGAAAGCTCTTGACTGTCCTGATGGGCACACCTCCTGTCTTGTCATCTTGCATCTTTGTGATGATGTCTTCGATCTGAAAGAGGTTAGAGGAACGTTACTTTCTCCCACACAATAGTAGTACATGGTGCCTTATAAACAGTCCAAATCTGTATAACACTAGATATCAGGAAAGGCCTACAGCTCATCAGTCAATAAATGTAGTGTCCATATCTGCTATTGACCAAGTGCTGGGTGTGGGTTCCAGAGGAAAATATAAAAGAGCATAAGGTATGTTCTACAGGAATAAGGTAAGGATGGAGAAATACATGAGGATCCTTCAGGGGACCCAACATGGAATGAAATATGTAAACAGTGCCATATTCAAATCCCTTAAAATTGCAATTCCCTGTTGTTCAACCTAAAATATTAATGTGTCTTTTAGGAAGTTCAGGAAGGGCTGCTTTGGGGACTAGAGAAGGACCCAGCCAATCACATGGGAGAAGGGACAGAGATTATAAATCAAGACCTGGAATGCCCTAATTTGGAGAAGTTGGGAAACGGGCCTTGGAAGTGGTGAGTGGTGGTGTGAGGATGGCCACCTTGAGTCAGGGAAAAGTGGGTCAAGGACAGGACCCTCTCCTTTTGAACTAAGGAAGTCCACGTTATCAGGAGAAAGCCCACTGGTGGATGGTGGTCTGTGGCCTGGAGTCAGGTGACATCTTACTGGTGACAACAGAACAGGGAATGGGGATGGACTAACCGCGATGTAGGTACCTAAACTGGTAAACCAATTGGTAGTTAAAAATTTGCCAGCCACATGTCATTTCCTGGGAAGAAATCTTCAGAATAGGATATAGAAAAATCTGTTACAAATGCCTAGATCTTTCTGTTCGAGGAAGAGAGAGCCCTGGGAAAAGGGAAGAAGATAATACCTAGCATTATCATGTATTTTGTTCCCCTGACCAACGAAACATCTTTAAGATGTCAAGATGGATTCTCTGAGGGAGCCCTGAGTAGAGTCACATATTCTTTTTTATTTTTTATTATTTATTTATTTTTTAATTGGAGGGGCACTCGACCACTGAGCCACATCCCCAGCCCTATTTTGTATTTTATTTAGAGACAGGGTCTCATTGAGTTGCTTAGCTCCTTGCTTTTGCTGAGGCTGGCTTTGAACTCACGATCCTCCTGCCTCAGCTTCCCAAGCTGCTTGGGTTACAGGCGTGTGCCACTGCCTGTAACCCCATATCTTAAAGCTAGAAATTTAAGCCATAACCCATCTAGTGAAACTTATTACTATTGAATTTTGAGGTTGATTTTTCTCAAAGTCACATGACTAATAAAGAACTAGTCTTACAGAAATAGATATCTTGATAGAGACAAAGTTACACACAGTAAAACATCATCACTGCCATCATTGCCAAATATGTTTAGAATTTATTATGTTCCTGGCACGATTCTAAGGATTACACATACCTTATACAGCTTAATCCTCATATTTACCTTTTAAAATAAATTCCACTATTATCCTCATTTTTCCAGATAAAGAAATTAAGATTTAGTGAGGTACACCAATCACGTAGAGTATGTTAAGTTGTGGAAGGAAATAGCTCCCAGAGTGTCAATGGCTTAACACCACCAAACTCATTTCTCTGTCATGCTACATGCCTCTCACAGGTCACTCAGGTAGACTCTGCTCATTGTAGTTACCCTGGGGCCTGGGCTAATGGAGCAGCCACCATCTTGAATGTTGCTGGTCACTGTGCCAGAGTGACAAGAGAGAATTCTGGACACACTCTCACTGGGCGTTAAGTGGTACAACCCAGAAGTGATCAATAACATATTGGTCACAATTCTTTGCTTGGAACTAGTCATATGTTCCCACCCAAGCACAGAGAAGCCAGGGGACTCTGGGTGCAGGAGGAGAGGCAAACTGAAAATCTGTGGCCAACACCCATGGCTGCTACAGAACCTTCACCAGTTTTACAAGGTCTCGCAGATAATGAATTGTGAAGCCAAGTTTGAACACAGTTCAGACTCCAAAGCTTGGGCTTCTAACCCCTGAGATGTTCTGTCTGCCAAAGAGAGTCCTAGGAAACTGTCACACAGGGAAACCATTCCCCTCTGGGTAGTTCTGGGTTTCCCTGAAAAGTATTGAGCATGAATATGAATCCTCTGCCCCTCAGGCAGTGCACAAGAGTCTTCTGGAAAGAAGGGTCTCCTCTGAAAACATGCACTCTGTTAAATGACAGTGCAAGAAAGATTTTAATCCTCATTCATGTCATTTCTCCTAGCGGATGCCTGCCTCTGTCTCCTAAACTCAACCCAGCAATTTAGAGGTTTGAATATGACTTATTGATAGTCAAGGAGAGCTATTTCTAGCAAAAAGGGCACATATTCAATTTAATCCATTCTTTTGATCTACTGTATTATTTGAAGCCAGAAGTATCAGTTACATTGATGGTTTCTATGAAAGGACCAGAAAACCATTGAGAATTGGAGGGAAACTGATCACTCAATTCTGTTAGACCTCTGAGTAGGCGTTAGATGTTTAGTGTCTGATGCAGTGGGCTGGATTTGAGGGATTAACTGTACAGAGGACTTTTCCATGACTCCCCTCTCCTCTGCTCAGTTTAGCTGCTTCGTCACATGACTGAATCTTAAAAGGACTTACTGACTAATGAGGAAGCCCTATCTTCTTGCATGGGTCCACAATGGACTAAGAGATGCTTGTCACTTACGGGGTTAAGGCCAGATCAAAAAGACACTCCCTCGACTGCCTAGAAAGGGGATTGCGCTCACTCCAGGAATAGTTCACAGCATCACAGGTGAGGAAGGTAGAACTACTGGTCCCCAACTCCTGACTCCCCTATTCGCATACCCTGTAACCCCTGCCCTGGTGTAAAGGTGGGCAGGGTTTGTAGCTTTGGGGCCTGGCCATATGACCTCGTGGCTCCTGGGATCCTATGAATGCAATGCGAGCTGAGGCTCTCCTGCACCTGCGTGGTTGTGCTGGACTTTTTGCTAGTCCCCTGTCTTTTGCCATGAGAAGAATGTGCCTCAGATAATCAAATGGGCCTGGACCCATTTTAAGATCAGCCCAACCTCAGATGCCGGCGGTCTCCGGAGTGAGAAGAAAGCTCATTGCTATATATCACTAAGTTTGGGGTGATTTGTTCTAAGGCAGAATTATGATAACGGGGCTCTGAAAAATGCATTTATTAAAATGGCTGTAGCCACAACAAATAATTGACAATCAGAATTAATGAATTTTAGAATTGAGGTATCTTTGCATCTAAACCTTTTTTTTTTTTTAAAGAATGTAGATATTTAATTTATACCATCCACCATCTACTTAAAAACTCTTAGGGACTATACTATTGTCAGTAGCTTATTCTATTATTGTGTCAGACACATTTTTGACAGCTATGTTTGATTCTGGAGCATGATTCACAGCAATATCAACTAATCATAGTCTCTGAAATTCCTTATTATAGTTTCTGGAAAATTTTTGCGAGTTCATAAGTAGGTTCCTTGGAGTTTATAAAAAAAAATAATGACAAGCATTTTCAAACAACTATTTAAAAATAGCTTCCTAGGTATTTTCAATAATTACCTAACTTATTTCTCAATCTCAAAAGATATTTAATAAAGATGATAAAATTGAGGCTCAGAAAGGTTAAGTGATTTATCCAAAGACACACAGGTATAAGTGTCAAAGCCAGGATTCCTACTGAAGTTGGAATATACACTGTGTGATCATATTTATCAATCTAAAGCTCATCTTCTACTTCTCTGATCTTTAGAAAAGACTAGGCTATGGCCCTTCTCTGAGTTGTGTGATTATTAGGTTCAGATCCTGAAAAGTAATTATCAGAGGCATGAACCCTTGAGTTGCCCGGATTTGACTGATCCCTCAGAATCTCACTCTCCCAGTGCCATACGCCAAGGTTAGAACTTTGCTTTCTGCGGGTCCCAGGGTATTTTCCAGCAGAGCCTGGTATTTCCCCTTACACTATGCAACTCATAAAATCCTGAGCTAAACACGGCACCCAACAAAAGCTTTTAGACTCAGCGCCACTTGATGGACTCCAAGCTTCTAAAGTGTTCAGTGGTCAAGTGCCCCTGAGTTCATTCTCTGGTACCCACCCCACCCTCCAAAAATGTTTTCACCTTGCTGGGCCCCAACTCCTGACTCCTCTATAGTATTCGCATGCCTGTTATCCCAGTTGCTCAGGAGGCTGAGGCAGGAAGATCACAAGTTCAAAGCCAGCCTCAGCAACTCAGGGAAACCCTGTCTCAAAATAAAAAATAAAAAAGGACTGGGGATATGGCTCAGTGGTTAAGTGTCCCTGGGTTCAACCCCATGCTAAAAACATTAGCTCAATAAATTCATTTAATTTTCAAGCAGATCATTATGTCCCCATTTCCTAGACAAGGGAACTGAGATTCATCCCAGCCAGAACTTGCTGACATCCAGGCACAAGATACTCAATGCCACTGTACTGACGGAAGTCCAGCTCAGTCCTCGAGGGGCAGAGGAGGAGGCTGGCGATGGGTCCAGACAGTCAGGTTCTCAGGTATCTGAGGATTGATTTGCTGCTGTCTCGCAGCTCAGGAGTCTCTCCCTGTCCCAGGGGTTAGGCTGGGTTCACCTCCCATGGGTTAGACCACAGCTCCCCGGTGGGGACGGGGACATGGGAAGGTGTATGCTGATGTTTTCTTGACTGTTCAGTTTCATCTGACTTCTGGCACCTTTTGTTCCTAGGGAAGAACAAAATCAATTCCCTGACATCCTCTAATATGAAGCTTTGTGTCATTCGGGAGCATGTTTGGACCTAAGTGCTGCTGTGCCAATCAATAAGCAGGTGGCCCTTATCTGACAGCCAAGTGAAGCAGAGAAGCACTTGGTTGGCTTGGCTGGTTCTGCCTGGATGGGCCATGATAATCAGGATGCGCCTCCGAGGCGCTCAGAGCTCAGCCCTGACACGCAGGTAGAACACTCTTCCAAACAGGAGGGAGATGGGAACCAGTACCACACAGAGCAGGGTTTCTTTTAAATGAAAAATATTACCAAAATGTATTCAAAATTCG